CAAAAGTGAATGCATATATGACGTAATCCTCTGACATCATAATGGTGTCATAACGTTAGTGTTACAATATTAGATTTAGGTCATATCTATAGTTCTACAAGATGCAGAGATATATCGTAAATGCATTTTTGAACTATACTATAACTTAATTGCCAAACATCTAATGGTGAATACATTTCTGATAAATATAATTAAGCTTCAGATTGTTTCTCTCCTACTCGCAGTTACCTCAGAAAATCAGTTCTTCTGACCTGAACATTTGACCTATCAGCTCCAAAAGTGAATCGATAAACTGCACACACATACACAAACACACACAAACACTCACACTTTTTGTTAAGGTGTTATACAGGCACCAATTTCATAATATTGTTTATTAATAACAAATATTGTATTTACATTTCTCGCCCTTCATATAACTGGTTGTTGCTATGCATTAAGTCTGTTTCATATCTATTGGATCCATAAAACACATTTGTAGCATCCTTTACAATTTGAAGATTGACTGTACTTTCAAAGCAGTTTTGAAGATGCTTTTGCTTGTGCTGACTGCAAACACTGAACCTTTCAAGTCCCACAGAGATTAAATAAAATGTTAGCTCCCCCATACCAACCTTGCTCTTCAAGAATCTATGACCAATAAGCTCTAAACTTTTGAGATGATGCTTTTATATGCGCCAGCCCAATTTTTCCTTTCCCCACAAATGGCACACTGCAGGAGTCACAGAAGAGCCATCGTATTCCCCAGCCAAGATCCCACCTCAGATGGTGGCACAAGACAAAGAGACTAATGGTGTTTTGATCTAAGCACACAAGCCGCAGGCATGACATAACACATGCCAGCTTCTTCATTTCTCCACACTGCACCAGGGGCACTCCACGAAGCGCTCTTCCCATTCTCCCTTGTGACAAGACCAACTGAGTATGTTGAAAGGTTCTCCCTGCACACACGCTCCAAGCCCGAGTTTTAATATGAGCATGGTATAAGGTAATAATTTACATAACATTAGAAATTTATGGGTCCATGTTTTTGCAGTTAAAAAGTTCCTGAAAATCCCTTTGAATAAATTATTAATCCCAAAGCAATGAGCTCATTGTCCATATCCTTAAATAACTAATGTAAGTTCACTGATAAATAGTTTTGACTTATTGTCATTTTTATAGAAGTAACCTAAATAAGACTGGAGGGGCCCGGAATTAAATCACCTTAGCAGCTGCAGCAAACATTCACACCCATCCCTTGTTTCGTACGTACCTTTAGATTTTTTTACTGAAAACAAAAATAACAGGCATAAAAGGTGTCTCGGTCCAAACCGATGGACCAAAGTCTTTTTAAATGATCTGTATTTATATAGACTAAAAGAGGTGAAACTGAACCATGGTTTGGTTTGTCTGCAGCATGAAAAATGTTTTGGGCTGGTTCGGGTTCTCTGACCAATTGCATAAGTTGAGACATTATTAAATTATAGAAGAAGAAAAAGAAGCGTAAGCGGCTTGCAGGATTGTTTGTAGTCTTCCCCTCTGACCATATAAGGACGTTCATTTTGCTGGTAGTGATGTAACAGTGGTAACTGTAAAATCAATTAATAAAATAAACCAGTTCATTTTCTTTCTCCATTCAAGACTTGTTTTTCTATGCATTTTAAAAGTTAGCCAATACAGAAGCCTAAGTGACAACGCACCAAGGTCAGATGCACGCCCATCTGTCTGGAAAATGTCAAGTATAGGTAGTAGCAACCAACGTAGGTGATGATAATAGTACATACATATTCACATGAAAGTATTTAGTCCACTCCCTAAATAGCAATGTGAGATGTAAGCAATGTAACAAAAACACCAACCTTGGTTCAGACCTTGGTCTGTACTGATGCTATAGCTCTGACTGGTGGTTTTTAAGGTGCACTGCTTGAAAATGCCAGTGCACCTGCCTTTATTAAAGAGCCTTCTAGGCCTTCTATTAAAGACAGAGATTTACAGCAGGTCTTTGCTGGAAAACTGTTGGATTTCAGCAGTTATCATTGCAGGGCATTTTAAGTCCAGGATGGAGAAATGCAAACTGATATTACTGTAACTAATGCATGGTGAAAACATTTAGATTGTGGCCCAGTTGAAGACTATAGAGCAGATGGTATATTGTTTTACTTTATTGTTCTGGCAGTTACTACTCCAGAAGTTAATGTATTATCCTTTTTTATACAAGACATTGCAATGATTATCTGTCAAGCTACACTTTTGGAATAGCAAGTAAACATGTTTTTCCTTCATTTATTACCTTTCTTTTATGTATTTCTGAGCTGTCTCTGGAGACAGTCCATCAACACCACATCCAAAAATTGATCGTGTCTGCGTGCTTGGATTTTTATGTATAACGTACCTCATTTTGACATTTTTTTTACCTGTGTAAAGGCACTAGGTACAAATACAAAGTGAGAATTTGTCTATAATGTGCAACTGAAAACAAAGCTGTTGACAATAACAATTCTAGGGTATTTTATCATTTCAACTTTTAACATCTGAATAAACATAACTTTGGAAAGGAGCATTTTATAAATTACAGACATTTTTGTGAGAAGATAAATTATTCTACATATTATTTCTTTGTCAGGAGAAAATTATGTTTATGGATGGCCACATCTCTGAGGATCCCAGACTCAAAAAATAAGGGCAGGTTGGAACATGAACTTTATAGTTCCCCAGAGTGGTGCCTGGTATGCATGACAAAAAGCAAAAACAAGACAAAATACTGAAGTAATTTAATGCAGGAGAAACTATCTGCATTTTGATTAGTACAAATGAGGATTGTTTGCTAATGAGTCATTGAGAGTCATTGAGACGTTGCAGAATTTAGAATTTACTCTCAAAGTGTCACTTTTAAATTTGAGTGTAAATTTTATAGAGTGTAACTCTGCAGGTAAAATGGTGGCGCTCAGCTGCTTCCCTTTGTTTTTGAATGAATAAATGCTCAAAACTGAAACACATATTTATAGGATCATCCTACTACCGATGTTCACCTGCCGTGCGCTGAAACATGACAATCTCCCCTTTGTACACATCATACTGCAAAAACTGTTGCCTGCACCGCCTCTCTTCGGTGCATATCTACTGTTTAGCCATGCAGACCAGGCTCCATTCAGTGGGGCTCTATGAACTTCATGTCCCACCCTCCTCCTCTTTTTGTGCCAGTGACATCATCAGAAATCTGTCCAGCCATAAACACACTTCCCCAAGGACATGTGTAGTAGCTCTACTAACCCAGCCACTTGAATACAAAAGGTAAGAAGAGTAACTGCACTCTAGAGTGGTGTTTTAGAGTGCAGGGGGGTATTAAAGCAATGCAAAGGGCAGAAACAGTTATCCCCAAAGAACATCCAGCTGGCACGTTGTCAGCATGAAACTAAAGACACTGCTTACAACCCTGAGATTCCCCTGAAAAGAGGAAGGCAGATGAGGCTGAATGTAAACATTTTGCCAAAGGGAGGAAGCGCTATAACTGTCAGAGGAACCACATCCAATTTCTGAGCCACATCTAATTTACTTAATAGCGGAATCATAATGTGCGAGGCAGCTCCCTCCTCACACACGTGGACACTTGATTTCATGAAAATAAATGTTTCCAAGCAAGGACGGCACACTAAAGGGCTTTAGACAATCTGAAACACCAATCAAGCTTGTGTGCTTGATTGGGATGATGGGACTGGACTGAGTCCAATCCCCCTGTTGATCACTGCAAAACAAATGAGTTCTTCCAGAGGTCTTAAATGAGTAGGGTTGTTCCGTGGCTCTGGTTCCTTTGACGGGAAAGATGCATGGAGTGAGTGATGGCCATGAAAATTAAGATCACGTAGAGGAATGTTGTTATCTCTAATGTGGGAATTGTATTCAACTCAGGGACAACTCAAATTTTTTGAGTTTGTCTTGGTGATAATACATAAGGGCACACACAGATATATGTATTCATTCACCTTCTATTTAACCTTTATAAGAATTATAATTATATTATATTATTAATTCCTACTATTGTTGGATTAAAATACATGAAAGATGCATGAAGTGAGTGATGGCCATGACAACCAAAACGACATAAAGGAATGTTTCAAACCTACGCGTTTGTCCAAGTCAGTATTGACATAAACACATGCACACAGATATTCATTTGTTTACCTTTTTAATTAATTTAACCTTCATAGGCAGTATCTCGATAGACTTCATGTAACGGTTAGATTAAACGTATGAAGTGAGTGATCACAGAGAGCACATAGAAGGCTGTCATTATCGCTAATGTGGCGATTGTGTACAACTTCGGAAGAAGGCAACTGGGATTTCAACCCAGTTTGTCTAAGTGATGTTAAGGCATGTTCACAGATATATTCTATTTAACCTTTATAAGAAGTCCATTGATATTTAAGGTTAGTAAGGTTGGATTCAAATACAGGAAAGGTGCATGAAGTGAGTGATGGCCATGAAAAGAAGAGGACATAAAGGCACATACACACACACAGGTATATTTATTTACTTCCATTTAACCTGAATAGGAAGTACATTGAGATTTCCTTTAAAGATTGGATCAGAATTCAGGAGAGATGCATGAAGCGAGTGATGGTTTTGACAATTAAGAGGGAAGAGAGGAATGTTTAGCAACTGGGATTTCAAATTTAACCTTTATGGGGAGTTCACTGAGGTTAAAATCTCCTGCATGGGGAAGATCCAGTAAAGATAGCACACCATTTCACAATGTGCCCTGACAAGCAGCCTAATAGGCTTCATGTGCTGCCTACTACCACCTTTAAATTATAGATATACTATAAAAGCATAGTCTAAAAAACCTCCCAGCAGGACAGCCTGTATACACTGACAGTTTAGGAGAATATCTACATTTTAGATCTTCACTGATTATCTCCTGCCACGAGAGGAAGTTTGTTTTTGTGATTTCACTGCATCAAAATAATGCCAATCAAATTTTGGATTTACTAAGAAACACAATGTAGTAATAGATTATTTACCTGAGTTGGTCCCCTGCGATGCTCGCTGATGTTTATCCCTTCTCGGATGTCCATGATACACGGCGCATCTCCTCACTCCTCCAGCCCGGCAGCGGCTCCCAGCATCGGGGCACTTGAATTCGGTTCCCCCCGGCTCCTTCTTCCTCAAGTGCGGATGTCGGCCACCGTAGTAAAACACCCCCGAAGTCTCCTCTTCGCCCTCCTGTAGAGCAGGATTCAACCCCTCGGTCCCCTGCGCTGTGTTTCAGAGTCGTGTATAGTTGCTGGCAGCCCGGGTTCCTCCGGTCCTCTCCGGTCCCTCCGCCGCGCTCATCCAGACCTTACCCGACCCCTGTGCTCACACCGCCGCCGGGATGCCACCGAACAAAGCGCCCCTAGCAGCAGCAGCGGCTCCTCACATGGAGGAGAAGTGAAGGTTTTTATGAAGAGGTTCACGATGTGGATGAATTCGTGGAGCAGAGAAGTGGAGACTGTCTCTGCTGACGTCGTGTTCACACTGAGCGTCCGGCACGTCCACTGCACGAGGACCGGGGCTGCCTGTGCGCGCGGCGGCAGTGGCACATGGGACATCAGTGGTGGGTGTTTAGTATTTTATTTATATATTTTCATCTAGTCATCTATAGTAGGAATTATGAGCAGCCTGTTTGGATACGTTACTCAGGGCTACTAAATGTATATACTACATTGTTAATTATAAGGAAGACCCACTCATTCACAAGAATAACTTATTATTAGTTATCTCAACAGTACATAGAGTTTGGTTGACATCACAGTGCAAGAGTGTAACTGTGATCAGTAACTATATCTCAGATAGGCTGGATATAATGGAGTGAAAAGGTCAAATCAATTTCTATGCAGTGGGGTAGTAGTGTAAAGTATACCCAAAGTCCAAGTACCTCAAACCGTACTGTATGTACTTATTGCCGGTTACATAAGTACAGTTTGAGGTACTTGGACTTTAAAGGAAACATAAGTGGGCTGATCTTGATGGAACCAGGTAACTTGTGTGTCTTGGGCCTATGTGGTAAAGTTCAAATTTTAGGCCAAAGCTGAAACACAACTAAATCAGTTTTACAGAACAGCGTCCTATATGTAATATGATAATGACAACTCTTTATAAAAGAGTTTCTCAATTACCCATTACAAGATGGAAAATATTCCAGGGTCCCCCTCATGTATGTCCCTTGGAATAATTTGACTTTGACATATGAATTATGACATTCTAATAAGTAATGTGAAAGAACAACACAAAAGAAATATTTATGGAACATATTTTCAAATCTGTAAATGATTCTCCCTTTGTCCAGATCCCTTGGCCGTGTGCCACAGACCCTAAGGGGTTCTGGGACCACCATTTGAGAACAACTGGTGCAGGCTGTTTGTCCATTACACTGATTGGAAGTAACCAATTATGTATACTCAAGTATATATGCTAGTGTCATTAAGTATATTTCTTTTTATTTATGTGCATTTAAATCTTACCTAATTTTACAACAATATAAACCTCAGTATTTTAAGGAACAATTTTGCATAATGGTTTTATGACATAATAAAGTTCACTTTTGATAGTTCAAATGTAATTTGCAAATGTAATTACAAGGAAAAAAAGGACTTTTACTTGTACATTTGTATTACTACTTTCTCTTTAGTGCAGGATGTGGCTACTTCTCCACTGACAGGTCCATTATATCCCTGTTATAAGGTTTAATTTGTGGTCATGTTACAGCCGGGCTGTGCATGTTTGGCATTTGCAGCCTCTTTGCTCTTGCATGTCTCTTGCTGCTTTTAAAAGTCATAAAAAGCTGATGATTAAGGCTTCCCACTTCCAATTCTAACTATGATAATATTATTCATAGTTTAAGTAGTGTTCAAATTATTTGCTCAACCCCTGGTGTTGCAAATTAACCCAAAATTTAAAACAGAAAGAAAACAGAGCTGTGTCCAGAGTAACACATTTTTGTCGTTAAATATGAAAAATGAGTGTGTGAACACGCACTTGTTTCTCATCATTACTTCTACATAAAACAGGGGAGATTGCCAGCTCATAAAGTTTAAACAGTCAGAACTTTCTATACGCACTATGCCTTTGGCTCATAATCCACTCATAACGCTGAGTGGGATTTAAGAGAATCTACTTCTGTTTGAGCAAATGGGAGAGCAATAATTACAGAAGAAATTAATGAATGCCCCGCTGAGCCTCGGAAAGGCGAGAAGAAGAAAGAATATTTGGATTAACCTACTGAATGAACATTTAGTATTCCTTAGCCACCCATGCACACTAATTATGGCACATCAGAGCTACAAGGAACAATTAATAGTATAGCCACTCTAAACACAAACATTAGGATTGAACATCTCTTGTTTTTTTAATTCCCAACACTGTGATGGTTTCTCACTGAATCTTACATTGTGCTCTTCTTCTCATTCTTCTCTGCTCTCCATCCCGACAAATGTTTCCTGTGACCAGGCCCAACACGACGATGAGCTTGTTATTGTTGTGTGGAAGATGACACTTAAATACGTGAATTACGTTTGTCCTGAGGCAGTGAATGAGATGCTGAAATGAGCAACTTGGAACTGTCAGAGTCAGAAAGACGAGCACTTTCAAGGCCGCCTCTGAGAGAGCAAGAAAAGGCAAATAATTCTCTGCAGAGGTGCCACACTGCCACCGACATGTGAAATAATGTTCTTGAATAAAATGTCTTTTACTAACATTTTCACTGCTTGTATTTGTTATACCCTGAAGCTCCTCTTATATCTACCTTGGATTCTCTACTCTACTTATCTGAAGATCCATTACAGCATGTTTGTTTGTGTGTGTGTGTGTGTGTGCGTGTGTGTGTGTGTGTGTGTGTGTGTGTTTCCTGATTGCCACCACTCACCTGCACATGTGGTTCATCAGCCAATCTACCCAGTATTTAAGTGCGATCCGCCCACACACAGTTTGTTCAGTCATCCAGAGTAAATACCTTCACTGCCTGCCAATACCCCATCATGTCTAGCCTGTCAACATATTTCATTTAGCTTTGTATGTCTTTTATATCTTTGGTGTCTCAAAACAAGTTCAAACCTCAAATCACTCCAAACCAGGGGTCTTTATTTTTGCAGAACCCTTACAAGGATAAAAGAGTTTACATTGACAAATAATAACGAGCTATGATTATTTTTATTGACTAGTGATTTGTTTTTATTTTTAATGATTAGGTCATATTAAAAAAATGCATAACTTTTACAGCTTCATCTTAATTGGACAAATATTATTTGATTCCTCACAGGATTGTTCACAGTGTTGATGCTATTACTCTCACTATAACTTTCACAGCAGCTCACAACAACATAAGGAGAAATAAAAACTTAACCAGGATGTGTTTTGTCAGACTCCCTACATCCCCACACTGTTATGAATTAACATTTCAGTCAGACTGACCTCATCACACATTAAAACTGACATTTTATATTCTGAAATATTTGTTCATCCATCCATCCATTACCTACGCAGCCTATTCTATTAAAGGCAAAAGGGACCCTGCAACCTTATAGTGGTCGCCAGCCTTTCACATGGCTGATAAACAGGGACAAACGACCATTCACACACATTCACAGCTCCAGGCAATTTAGAGTGTATATGCACAATAACTTATTTTACTCCATATGTGACACTATAGCCAGTCCTTTGCTTATCAGGTTATTTGGTTCAGTTGCCATCAGCAGCATTGAAATGGACAAAAATATGTCCACTCAAAGGCACCATAAAAGATCAGATATAGTGGATGTTAATCCCATTTCAGCTGAAAGAAAATATAATATCACAGTATCTCTCCTGGTCCAGTTTTGCAGGTCAGTAACAGAGTATTTTAACATCAGTCTCGCGTTTAGCTCCTCATCCTTGAGAAGGCCCTGAGGAAAAACTGTAGTGTGTTATCTGCAATACTGAGCAGGGGACTGAGCTGCTGACTCTGGCAGATTTGATTAAAAGTGAATGACTTCATGCAGAGACAAGGACAGTGAGGGTTTCCCCAACTCAGTCAATGCACACCCAGTATAGTTCATCAGCCAACCTACCAAGTACGATTCATTCGTCCACACACAGTTTGTTCAGTCATCCAGAGTAAATACCTGCACCGCCTGCCAATACCCTGCCATGTCTTGTCAACCTTTAATTTGCTTTATATACCTTTTATATCTTTAAGCTTTTTAAAGCAAATTCAAACCTCAAATTGTGTCATTGGACAATTGAGATTCAATTTGATTAATTATCTTATCGTTCTGCTTTTGTGATCACAACTGTAAAATATAGTCTGTAAATGTAAGATAGACAGCTATTGTGTTCCATTCAAAATAGATTTGGTGCTGGCATTATGTACATTTGTACTTCTATTTCTACTCCTGCTCTGAAATATCAACACAGGCCTTTATAGTTTTTGCTCTCTTTCTTCCCCCAGACCTCATTTGAGAACTATACTTTTGCTTTCAACTCTGTTATCCCAAACCTGCTCACTTCTTATTGCAATAAACCACCAGGGTGACCTGACCTGCTTCGGAGCAGGTTCAGTTTTGAGATACTGTCAACAGCCCAACCACTCACAAATCCGTCAATGCAAACCCAGTATAACAAGAACTCTGCCACAAACTTGAATCTCTTACTTGCTTCTCTCAAACAACAAATAAACCAGGTTCACATAGAATTCAGGTTGAGGAGGTAATGAAAACAAAGAAATAAGAATTTAGTACAAACAAGGTTATGATGAACTTTGTGCTGAGAACAATCTTCCAAGAATTGCATTATTTGCATAAGTAAACTACCAACATGGATGTAGATGTTTTAACCTGTAACGGTTTTCACCCCTGCCCATTTATTATTAGACATTGTGGAGGTGAAGGGGCGGAGAGAGCACCTTCACCTGCACCACAGAGGATCAGTCAGCACAGGTGAGAGCTGTTAGCTGATTGATCCTCAGACTTGAAAAGGCAGCAGCAGAGCTGCCTTGGGGGAGAACACACACTGGGGAAGAGAGACTGGGTGAAGCCAGAGGTCCAGCAGATAGTGCTGGACCGTTTAAGTTCCATATTTTGTGTGTTCTGTTGGCCTGCAATAAAAGATGTTGCTGAAAACGCAATGGTGGGACTGGTTTGTCTCTGGCTGTCGTGGTGGGAACCCTGTGGCATGGTCGACTGCCACAGACATATTATAGGAAATTTGGTGGACGGATGTGATGATGGCCCAGGGAAGAATGAGCAACCTACTCCTGGCAACAAGAAGACCTTTTTCAACATTTTCAGCCATTATGTTTCTTGGCTTTTCTTCAGTTTAGGGTCTGATTTAATTTCCTGAAACTGAAACAATTTGTTCATCACATCAAGTTGAACATGAAGAAAAAGGGTTAGATTAGAGTTTGCCTTGTTAAGTTGTTAATTGCTGGACTCTAATTGCAGACAGAGAAAGACAGAGTCTGTCGAATGTTTGAAGTGTGTT